GGTGAGTGGGTTGCCTGAACCCGCGGGTTCGAGACCCACCTGGGCACCTTGGCGAGACCTCATCTCTACAATAAAAATCAAAAATTAGCTGGGCGTGGTAGCGCGCGCCTGTAGTTCCAGCTCCTTGGAAGGCTGAGGCGGAAGGATCGCTGGAGCCCAGCAGGTCGAGGCTGCAGTGACCAGGAGCGGCCACTGCACTCCAGCCTGGGTGACAGAGTGAGACTCTGACTCAAAAAAAATTTTTTTAAATATTTTTTTGTCATAAATAAGTTTTTCAATGTCCAAAATTCCATTATAAGCCAAATATCATTACAATAAAATAATTGGCTCCAGTGCTATACTATTAATATTTAATATAAAGTGATTCATTTTTCACTATTTCATTAAAAAGTACAGTCGAGTTGCTGTACTCTGAGTGCAAAGAGTTAGTTAAAATTTTTTAAAAGGGTTAACTGAATTTTTTAAAAAGGTAATGACAAGACTGGTTCTGGATTTCAGAGGAAGAACTGTTGACATCTGGGGGACTCTGAGCAGGGGGGTGCCTTCCCAGGGTTCTCCCTTGCCTAGGCATAGACCATAGCCTCTGTTACCCAGCTGGGATGGGGACCCTGGCCTCACCTCTCCCTTGTCACTCCCAGGGCTAGAGCCAGGAAGCTCAGCACTGCTGCTCACAATGGAGGACCTGCTGCAGGCTGCTGCCCGGCTGCAGCCCTCGGTCAGCGAGCAGGAGCTGCTCCGGTACAAGCGCATCCAGCGAAAGTTTGCTGCCTGCTAGGAACCTCCTGTGGCCTGGGGTCCCACCCACAATGGCTAAAGGTACCTAGACAGCCCTACAGATGCGTGAGAGGGAAGGGCTTCTGCTTCAGGCCGCTGCCAACCCATCTGAAGGCTGTCTCCCTCCAGAAGATCCCTGGGTGCAGAGTGGCATTGGGACCCCAGCGAGAGCTCAGGAGGCATCTCCTGCCTGTTTGCCTCCTCCATCCAGGCCAGCTCTAAGATCACCTGCTCAGGAGGCAGGCTGGGGCCTGGGGTTCTGGGGAATGGGTCCCGAGGAGGCCAGTTCTGTGGCTGAAAATAAAGTATGTGCTGCCCCCTGCTGGAGTTGTGGCGTGAAAAGTTGGTGTGGGGACGAGCAGGGTTGTGGGAGGAGAAAGCCCTGGGAAAGGCAGGGTCGGGCACCATGGGAGCCTGATTCTTCTGACATAAACATGAGTCATGCTGGAACTGAAAAAGGCACAGGCTATATTGTTTACCCTTGTGTTTCCCTGAACTTACATCCCTGCGCTGCGGCTGGGGTCTGCTGTAGGAGCTGGGCTTGTGTGGGGCTGCCGGCCAACATCTCCCGGGCTGTCTGGCAGTGCCTGGGCAGAGTGCTGTCAGAGCTGGGGCCACACTCAATCTGTCCTCTTGAGCACATGGATGAAGTAGCAGGGAATGTAGGCTTGGCCCGGCTTGTAAGGCTTGAAGTCGCCCAGGACGCTGTGCTGGCACTTGCCCCCAAAGGCTGCTTGGAGTAATTCCGTGAAGGGTGCCAGGCAATGCGGGTAGTAGGAGAGCCGGAACTTGCTGCAACAGAGGCCCCGGCCAACCATGAGGACTGGGGACCTCAGCACCCCTACCCCACCCCTGGACCCCATCAAACAAAAGTGGTACCTCAAGCCAGGAGAGCCGTCCTGGCCAGCCCCTGGCACCTGCACTGTGTAGTCCAGGGTCACCATGTGGGCTTTGTTGTTCACCGTCAGCACTGATGTTGTGATGTCCTTGGTCAAGTCACTCTGTAGGGATGGCGCAGCTGTATTAGCCTCTGTGACCCGCCGTGGGGCTGCTGGACCCTAGTCACACCTCCCACTCTGGGCCCTCCCTCCCTGGCGGACCCCACCTTATAGTAGATGTTCTTCCCTGGGGGCGCGCAGCCTGTGCTGAGGATGTGGTCATAGTTGCGGTGATCGATGACCAGTAGGCCCCCCGAGCGCACCATGCTCGCGATGTTCTTCAGTGCCAGCCGGTGCTCGCGCTGGTCCCCTGAGCTCCAGGCAGGGCAGAAAGGCTCTGTCTGCTCAGGACCCCTGGCGCCAGACTCCCTCCTCCCATCTCTCCCCTCCCCAAGGCAGACGGGAGCAGAAAGCAGAGGTGCTCCGGCAGGAGAGCAGGCGCCCGGGGTCTGTGGCAAAGGGTGTAGCTCAAGGCAAGGCTGTGCCCCCGCCACACTTTCTCACCTTTGCAGTCCGGCAAGTGGGCAAAACTGTTCCCAAGACAGATGACAGCATCAAAGCCACCCCCTGCTGACTGGGGCACATCTTTGTCCAGAGTCATCCAGTTGGCTTCTTCGATGACTGGAGACCGGGAAGGGAAAGAAGGATCAGGGCGGCACCAGAGAGCCGGTAGCACCCACATCCACCAAGTGCCGTCCCACCATGTTTCTTCCTCAGGACACGTGGGGATTCCCCATCCAGTCAGGGGAAGGAGGGAAGAGGGTTCAAGGCAAGAGGGAGCCACATTGGGAAGGAAGGCTCTCTGCTTAGGGGTTTTTATTTGGGGAAGGCAACAGGATGGTATAAACACAGTCGAAGCTAGCTCTCCATATCCAGTATCTCATTCTGCTCATTCTGGTACATAAGCTTCGCTTTTCAGGTAAATGACAGTAGTTTGCTGTCGTGCCCCAGCCCCCAGGAAACAACACATCCCCACCCCCATTCCTGAGGGCTGGACGGTGAGGGCCTGGATGGACCTGCATACCCCACGTGTCGAAGGCGGGCTCGTGTCGCCGGTTCCAGCGCTCTTTAAGCGCATACTTCAGCATCTTGTCACTGGCATCCACACTTGTCACGCTGAAGCCCTCTTCCACCAACATAATGGAGTCCACCCTGGGCAGGGCCAGGGATGAGAGGCAGAGGGGGCAGTCAGAGGGGCCGGGAGGGCAAGGAGGAAGTCCTGGGCAGGACACTTTGGTCTCAGCTCTTCAGAGTCCATTCCTCTCCTTCCTCTTCCCAGCCCCTCTCTACTGACCGCCGATGGCCTCACAAATCTGTTTCCCCTCACATGTAGCAACTTTTTAAATAAAGCACCCGTACAGAGCTAGGCACTCTGCAAAGGTGCACCAACCCGCATGGCATTCCTGTGAAGTAAATGGTTTCATCCCCATTTGAGAGACTGGCAGACTGAGGCTCCTGGAAGTTAAGTAACTTGTGTGCAGGAGGCTGTGTAGCATGGTGTTTAAAGCACAAGACAGGCCCTAACCAACCCTGTCCTGTATCTCCACTCCATGAGGGATTTTTTCCTTGCTGAGGTCTAATTTCCCCAATCGCAAATGGAATATTACTTCTTACCTCCTGGGGTTTTGTGAGAGTTCAAAAACAGGTATCAAAAGCCGACACAGGGCTTGGCAGGTGCCAATGTTGAACAAATGTTAACTGTTAACCCGCCCAAGGCCACCACAGGGGAAGCCATACTGGAGCCAGGATCCAAGGAGCCCATGTGCACTGTCGCGGGGGCCCCACAGCCCTTGAGCGCACCTCCCGGGCCACCCTCACGCCCCTCGGCCTCCTCGGCCCCCTTCCCCCACCCCTCTCGCCCCGGCCATGCATGTCACCCTTCTGGTGTCTTTGAACACCCATCTCACTTCTAACAACACCCACAAGCTCAAGGTAAAAGGATGGAAAAAGATCTACCACATAAATGAAAAAC